AGGCGTGAGCCACCGCGCCCGGCCCCTAATTTTGTATTTTTAATAGAGATGGGGCGTCTCCATGTTGGTCAGGCTGGCCTCGAACTCCTGACCTGAGATGATCCACCCGTCTCAGCCTCCCAAAGTGAGTCTCTACTCCTGGCCGTGTCTGCATTTTTACCAACACTTATTGTCTGTTCTTATGGATGCTAAATCTTTTAATGCACTTGAGATGATGTTTCATTGTAGTTATTGTTTTTTCCTGCATGCTACTTTTTTTTGTGTGTGTGTGTGCTTATTTATTGTATGCTTATTGGTGATTCATCTGTCGTTTCTGCAGAAATATGTATTCAGTTCCGAGACTCATTTTCTAATTGTGTTTTTTGATTTTTGTTGCCAACTTGTAAAAATTCCTTGTATTTTCTAAATATTAATCCCTGATGAAATATATAATTTCCACAGTTTTTTCATGGAATCTTTCTTTTTTTTTTTTTATTTTTGAGATGGAGTGTAGCTCTGTCGCCCAGGCTGGAGTCCAGTAGCGCAACCTTGAGTCACTGCAAACTCCGCCTCCCAGGTTCAAGTGATTCTCCTGCCTCAGCCTTCTGAGTAGCTGGGATTATGTCCCCCTAATTTTTGTATTTTTAGTAGAGACAGGGTTTTACCATATTGGTCAGGCTGGCCTCGAACTGCAAACTCCCACCTCACCCTCCCACAGTGCTGGGATTACAGGCATGAGGCACCGTGCCCAGTCTTCCATGGAATCTTTAGTGATTTCCTCATATCAGATGATGTTTTCTGTGAACACAGAGCATTTTACTTTTTTTCCCCACTGCTTGGCATTTCTTTCTTTTTCTTGTGTCTAATTTCTTCAGTCAGGATTCCAGTAACATGCTGAATAGAAATAGCAAAAGCAGGTTTCTTAGTCTCTTTCCTGATCTTAGAGGAAAAGATTTCAGGCTTTCACCATCCACTGTGATGGTAATTGTGGGCTTCTCCTAAATGGTCTTTATTGTGTTGAGGTTTCTTGTATTCTGTGTGTATTGAGTGTTTTTATTTCAAAATAATATTGAGTTTTTGATTTTCGATAGTTTGTTTATAATGTGTCTCTTCAGTGGTGTGCTGGGGTTCATTCAGAAGGTAGTGATCTTACCATTTATTTCACTTTTTACATTGTGTGCAGGTGGTAAGTAGAAGTTGTGGCTTTTTTCTTAAGACGGAATTGTTTACAATTCTGTAGGCTGTATAAATGTACTACTGTTTGCTTGCTGGTTTTGTCATTGGTTACAATATTAATTAATTTTTTATTTTTTTTGAGACAGAGTCTTGCTCTGTCACCCAGGATGGAGTTCAGTGGCACGATCTCAGCTCACTGCAGCCTGTTTCTCCCAGGTTCAAGCAGTTCTGTGTCTCAGCCTCTTGAGTCACTGGGATTATAGGCACCCACTACCACACTGGCTACTTTTTGTATTGTTAGTGGAGACAGGGTTTCACCATCTTGGCCAGACTGGTCTTGAAGTCTGACCTTGTGATCCACCCACCTCAGACTCCCAAAGTGCTGGGATTACAGGCCTGAGCCACCGCACCTGGCCCAAAATCAATTTTTGTTTTTTTTTTTGAGACGGAGTGTCACTCTGTCACTCAGGCTGGATTGCAATGGTGTGGTCTTGGCTTACTGCCACCGTTGCCTCCTGGGTTCAAGCAGTTCTCCTGCCTCAGACTCCTGAATAGCTGGGTCTAAAGGTGCGTGCCACTATACCCGGCTAAATTTTGTATTTTTAATAGAGACAGGGTTTTGCTTAGTTGGCCAGGCTGGTCTTGAACTCCCAACATCATGATCCATCTGCCTTGGCCTCCCAAAGTGCTGGAATAACAGGCGTGAGCCACCACGCCTGACCAACTAATTTTTATGATTTTACATACGGCTTTTTGGTATGAGGCCTGCAATATAACTGACACACTCCTCTCAGTAATGTTACAAAGTGCCTGTGGGCACAGGGCCTTATGACTGAAATCCCAAGACTTTGGGAGGCTGAGGCAGGTGGATCACTTGAGGTCAGGAGTTTGAGACCAACCTTACCTCTAATAATACAAAAATTAGCCACGTATGGTGATGCATGCCTGTAATTCCAGCTATTCAGGAGGCTGAGGCAGAAGAATCGTTTGAACCCAGGAGGTGGAGGTTGCAGTAAGTAGGGGTGTCGTCATTGCACTCCAGCGTGGGGGACAGAGCGAGACTGCCTCAAAAAATTAAAAATATAAACTTTTTTTTGGTAAAAGTCACAAAATACCTGTTCTCCCTGGATATATGTAATTTTATAACATTTATTTAGAAAAATATTGTATTAATATTTTCTTTTCCTTTTCTTTTTTTTGAGATGAAGTCTCAGCCAGTGTGGTGTCTCATGCCTGTAATCCCAGCACTTTGGGAGGCCGAGGTGGCGGGATCATGAGGTCAGGCATTTGAGACCAGCCTGGCCAAGATACTGAAACTTTGTCTCTACTAAAAATACAAAAATTAGCCGGGTGTGGTGGTGGGTGCCTGTAATCCCAGCTACCCAGGAGGCTGAGGCAGGAAAATCGCTTGAAACTGGGAGGCAGATGTTGCAGTGAGCCGAGATCACGCCATTGCACTCCAGCCTGGGCGACAGAGTGAGACTCCTTCTCAAAATAAATAAATAAATAAATAAATAAATAAATAAAAGAAATGGAGTCTCACTTTGTCACCCAGGATGAAGTGCAGTGGTGCAATCTCGGTTCACTGAAACCTCTGCCTTCCAGATTCAAGTGATTCTTGTGCGTCAGCCTCTTGAGTAGCTGTGACTACAGGCATGGGCCACCAGGCCTGGCCAATTTTTGTAATCATTTCATCACTTCTCAGTGCTATGCTTGTTTCACAATACAAAATTTCCATTGATTTTGGTTATGCTTACATGAGCTTGTTGAGGATTATTTATCAATACAGTATACTATATGGTTCTTGAGCATTTATTTGTATATGGTAAATATGCTGTAAATACGAAGAATATAAATTTTTCAATTTATTGAGGTGACAATGATATGTTTTTTGCTAACAGTTATACACTTTAGGGTCACAATGGGAAAATACTGCTTACTTGAGGCTTACAGATGTTTGTGCCCTGTCTCTGTGTGGTCCTGATATCGGAAATAGGCTTCTGTGGAAATGACTTGAAGTACATATAATCGACTTTTATTTAGTGAAGAATCTTGGCCGGGCGCGGTGGCTCAAGCCTGTAATCCCAGCACTTTGGGAGGCCGAGGCGGGTGGATCACGAGGTCAAGAGATCGAGACCATCCTGGTCAACATGGTGAAACCCCGTCTCTACTAAAAATACAAAAAATTAGCTGGGCATGGTGGCGCGTGCCTGTAATCCCAGCTACTCAGGAGGCTGAGGCAGGAGAATTGCCTGAACCCAGGAGGCGGAGGTTGCAGTGAGCCGAGATCGCGCCATTGCACTCCAGCCTGGGTAACAAGAGCGAAACTCTGTCTCAAAAAAAAAAAAAAAAAAGTAAAGAATCTCACTCCTTTTGTGTTCCTAAACTTTGAAGATCATGTTTGGGAAACTTTTCTGTGTCATATTTACACATTTCAGTATTATTTACCATCTGTACTCAATTGCAAACCTATTGGTGTTTATATTTTGTAGATATCTCTTCCAAATGCATGATGAAGAAGTTCTCATTAACAGCACAGGGCAATACAGAAATGTTCCACACAGGGACATTGGAAACGCATGAAAGTCATCACATTGGAGTCTTCTGCTTCCAGGAAATTGAGAAAGATATTCATGACTTGGAGTTTCAGTGGGAAGAAGAGGAAAGAAACAGCCATGAAACTCCCATGACAAAAATAAGAAAGTTGACTAGTAGTACAGAGCAATACGATCAAAGGCATGCTGGAAACAAGCCTATTAAAGATCAGCTTGGATTAAGCTTTCATTCACATCTGCCTGAACTGCGCATATTTCAGACTGAAGGGAAAATTGGTAATCAAGTAGAGAAGTCTACCAATGATGCTTCCTCAGTTTCAACATCCCAAAGAATTTCTTGTAGGCCGGAAACCTGTATTTCTAATAACTATGAAAATAATTTCCTCCATTCTTCATTACTTACACATCAACAGGATGTACGCATGACAGAAAAATTTTTCCAATATAGTGAGAGTGGCAAAGCGTTTAATTGTAGCTCACTCTTAAGGAAACATGAGATAATCCATTTAGGAGAGAAACAATATTCATGTGATGTATGTGGAAAAGTCTTTAATCAGAAGCGATACCTTGAACACCATCGTAGATGTCACACTGGTGAGAAACCTTACAAGTGTAATGAGTGTGGCATGAACTTCAGTCGGCAGTCAATCCTTGCACGCCATTGTAGACTTCATATTGTAGAGAAACCTTCCAAGTGTAATGAGTGTGGCAGGACCTTTGGTCAAAATTCAGCCCTTGTAATTCATAAGGCAATACATATAGGAACGAAATCTTACAAGTGTAATGAATGTGGCAAGATTTTTAAACACCCATCAATCCTTGCATGGCATCGTAGATTTCATACTGGAGAGAAACCTTACAAATGTGAAAAATGTGACAAAGGTTTTACTCGGAAATTAGAATTTAAAAGACATAAGGAAATTCATGGAGAGAAACGATGCAAATGTAAGGTTTGTGACAAGGCTTTCAGGTTTCCTTCACACCTGACACAACATACTAGAACTCACACTGGAGAGAAACCTTACAAGTGTAATGAATGTGGCAAGTTTTTTCGTCAAAAATCAACCCTTGCATGTCATCATAGAGTTCATACTGGAGAGAAACCTTACAAATGTGAAGAATGTGACAAAATTTTCAGGTGGAAACAAGACCTTGAAATTCATAAAAGAATTCATACTGGAGAGAAACCATACAAATGTAAGGTTTGTGACAAGGCTTTCAGGCGTGGTTCGTACCTGGCACAACATACTAGAGTTCACACTAGAGAGAAACCTTACAAATATAATGAGCATGGCAGGACCTTCAGTCGGATGTCATCACTTGTATTCCATCGTAGGGTTCATACTGGAGAGAAACCTTAGAAGTTAAATCAATGTGGCATGCTTTTTAATGAAAAATCAAACCTTTCATGTCATCATATACTTCATACTGGAGGGAGACCATAGAAGTGTAATGAATGTGGCAATGTTTTTAGTTGAAAAGCAAACCTTCCACATTAGTGATTTCTTACTGGAGAGAAACATATAAGTGTAATGACTATGGCCAGATTTTAATCAAAAATCAAAACTTGCACATCATCATAGACTTCATACTGGAGAGAGGTTTATTAATGCTAAGAATATGACAAAATCTTCAGTCCTAAATCACACCTTGAACGACATAAGAGAATTCATGCTGGAGAGACCATACAAATGTAAGGTTTGTGACAAGGCTCTCGGTGTGATTCACACTTGGAACAACATGCTAGAATTGACACTGGAGAGAAACCTTACAGGTGGAAGGAGTGTGGCAAAGCCTTTAGTGCACAGTCAGCATTTATTCACCATCCAGCATTCCATGGCATGGGGAAGCTTTACGAATGTAATGATTGTCACACAGGCTTCAGTAATGCTGCAACCATTGCAAATCATTGGAGGTCCATAATGAGAGATCCTACAAGTGTAATAAATGTGACACACTTTTCAGACATCGTTCAAACCTTGAAATTCCATGGCAAACTCATACTGGAAAGAAATCTTACAAATGTTATGGTTGTGGCAAAGTCGTCAGTCAGGCTTCACCTTATATAAAACAGGAGAATTCCTACAGGCGGGAAACCTTACTAGTGTGATGATTGTGGCAAAGCGGGTATTTCACGTTCACAAGTCATTAGACATCAGAGAATCCATACAGGACAGAAATCTTACAAATGTCATAAGTGTGGCAAGGTCTTCATTCCAGGGTCACTCGTTGAAGAACGTCAGAAAATTCATTCTTGAGGTAATTGTTTCAAATGCAGTGAGTATATCAACCCATCAAGCATTAAGTGACGGAGTCACTCCCTCAACCGAGCAGGTTTTTTTTAACAGGAAATCTACTTTTAAAAAGGGAACACTTATGTCTTGATTTAATTGACTATGATACAAAAGTGTGGCCAGATTTAGTGGAGACCTCCTTCAGAAGAAGGTAACACTTATAGATGGCTCCTTGAAGGTAGTCAAGGGAAATAGTCACAATGGTTATGCAAGAATTGATGGAGAAACCCTTGAAGAAATAGAATCAGGAAGACTACCTAATAGTTGGTCTGCACAAGCTTGTGAACTATTTGCGCTTAGCCAAGCCTTAGAGTGCTTACAGAATCCACAGGGAATCATCTATACTGACTCTAAGTACGCCTTTGGAGTAGCTCATGCATTTGGGAAAATTATGGCCGAATGGCGTCTTGTAGTAAGAGCCAAAACCTGGCTCATGAGACATTAATTGTTCATGGTTTTTTTTTTTTCCTGACTTTTTCTTAACAGCAAATTGTTCCTGTTTTACATTTATTTATTTTTATTAAAAAAATTTTTTTTTTAAAGACGGGATTTCACTAGGCCGGGCGTGGTGGCTCACGCCTGTAATCCCAGCACTGTGGGAGGCCGAGGCGGGTGGATCACGAGGTCAAGAGATCGAGACCATCCTGGTCA